AGTAAATTTTTGAACTACCTTCATTATTTCTTCTTTATCAGTTCCATGTAGAAACATACTGTTTACACAACCATTGATTAAATAACTCACGTTTTTATCCACTTTAGGAATTGAAGCTGCAACATTAGACCCAACATTTACAAAATAATTATTAAATCCATTAACGATTTCATTTTCATCATGAATTTCCACATTATTTTCCACAAAATGTTGTGAAAGTCCCATATTATCCTTGTGTTTTTTTATAACATTGTTCATTACTCGCCATGTTGCCCTCATGTCACCACTACATTTGTGTAATAATTCACTATAATATTCTCTCTCATGTTTCCTTATAATCCCTACTAATTTGTTTTTATACTTTTTATATTTATCTTCAGCCTCTTGAGTTCTGGATTTCAGGAAACAAGAATACAGATAATTCTTTTTTTTACATGCGTTTCTCAATCCTTTAGTCATCCATGGATGATCAACTGTATTTTTCTTTATATAATTTTTTTGCACACAATTTTTTTTATACAATACTTCAAGAATCTTCATAAACTTATCATAAGATTTGTTCACATCGTCTGTATACACTTCTCCCCAATTTTGTTTAGCTAAGTCATCTTTAAATTTATCTAATGCTTTTTTGGATGTGTTTATTATTTTATTCTTTCTTATAAGTGTTTTTGATATGCTGACATCGTTTTTATAAATAGTGAACACAGGTAAATGATCACTAATATCAGTCATCAAAATACCACTCACCATATCACCATCTGTTATATTTGTGAAGATATTATCAATTATTGTTGCACTTTGAGTTGTGATTCTTGTTGGATTTGATATTAACGGATACAAATTTGAACTATACATTGAATTTATGAATGTACTGATGTTATTTGAATCAGTTTTATTTCCTAAATCAATATTGAAGTCTCCACATAAAAAAACTTTTTTATTTCTGCTCTTTACTAGTAACTCCAATATTTTATCGGTAAACATTTCTATCTTTGAGCATGGTGATCGATATACACAACTTATTATAATGTTTTTTCCATTTTTATTGATTATTTCTATTGTTATCATTTCCATCATATTATCAACAATTGTAGACATTTCACTGATTACTTTACATTGTTAGGATTTGTGGTCGGAGCGAACCCAGAGTGCAGAACAGGGACTCAACTCGGCAGATATACAAAAATAGGTTTTTTAGTGATAAATAAAAAGTACAAAATAAATATGCTGACGGGGCAGCAAAACTTACATAAACAAGGAGGGAGGCACGAGGAACTCAGGAGACACGAGGAACTTGAGGAACCAGGAAAAAGGAGAGACTCAGGAGACTCAAGGAAGCGTACCCAACGAAGACGACCCGACAAAGGACAAGACAGAATAGGGTGACTTAAATACAAGGAGAAGACGAGACATGATGACAAACAGCTGGGACGAGACACAGGTGGCAACAATGGAAACTAACGAGGAGCACGAGGGAAACAGACACACCGGGCCACAGAAAACTAACATCCTTACAGTACCCCCCCCAAAGACGCCTCCAGGCGTCCCCAAAACCCCCCCCTCACGAAGGACTAGGGTGGGTGGAGGGCGGCACTGCAAGGGTGGAGGGCCCGAGGAAAACACGAGGACCAGAGAAAAGACACGAGGGATCACAAAGAACGAGACACGAGGAGCCACAGAGAGCGAGGACACGAGGAGCCAGAAAACAAGGAGAAAAAAGGACACGAGGAACCACAGAGAAGGGACACGAGGAGCAAAAGGGACACGAGGAGCAAAAGGACACGAGGAGAAAAAGGACACGAGGAGAAAAAGGACACGAGGAGAAAAAGGACACGAGGAGAAAAAGGACACGAGGAGCCAAGGAGAAAAACAAGACACGAGGAGCCAGAGAAAAACAACACACGAGGAGCCAGAGAAAAACAACACACTAGGAGCCAGAGAAAAGGACACGAGGAGACATGGAGGAAAAGGGACAAGAGGAATTCCAAAGAAAGAGACACGAGGAGCCAAAGAGAACGAGGAACCAGAAAGCAAGGAGCAAAAGGACACGAGGAGCAAAAAGGAAGAAAAACAAGACACGAGGAGCCAGAGAAAACAAGGAGACACGAGGGATCACAAGGAATATGGACGGTCAAGGGACCGTCCCTAAGAGACACTGTTCCGGCGGGCGGCCGGGAGGCTGTCCATCAGACCGGGCCAGGTCAGGGGGGCGGCCGGGAGGCCGTCCAAAACACAGGGCCCAAGGGAGCACTGCTTGCGGCGTGGAAGCCTGGAGAGCTGCAGCGGACGGCGTGGGAGCCTGGAGGGCTGCAGCGGACGGCGTGGGAGCCTGGAGGGCTGCAGCGGAGGGCGTGGGAGCCAGGAGGGCTGCAGCGGACGGCGTGAGAGCCTGGAGGGCTGCAGCAGACGGCGTGAGAGCCTGGAGGGCTGCAGCAGACGGCGTGAGAGCCTGGAGGGCTGCAGCAGGAGACGAGGGAAACTTGGAAACTGCAGCAGGAGACGAGGGAACCTTGGAAACTGCAGCAGGAGACGAGGGAACCTGGGAAACTGCAGCAGGAGACGAGGGAACCTGGGAGACTGCAGCAGGAGACGAGGGAACTTTGGAAGCTGCAGCAGGAGACGAGGGAACCTTGGAAACTGCAGCAGACGGCGAGGGAACCTTGGAAACTGCAGCAGACGGCGAGGGAACCTTGGAAACTGCAGCAGACGGCATGGGAGCCTGGGGAGATGCTGCTGCTGTCGGAG